GCCCAGGCCGGCGAAGGGAGGTTGTTGGAAGACCGAGTCGACCACGAGATACTTGCGACGAACGAGTGGAGGTACGTCGGTCTCTTCCGCAGGAACCTCCTCCCAACGTGCATGGGTGGGTTGTGTGACCTTGGGATAACACATCAGGTTGGTATGTGGGTCGTATACGCCCGTGAGATTTGCTTTTCGTAGCTTGGAGAGGTTCGAGTTGAATCGACTAGGGTATGTTAGTCTTGGTAGTCATAGATAGGTGTAATGGTTATGCATACCTTGCAGCGCGACCATGCTCAAATTGCCAGTTGGCAGAGGTGATGTTGACCTTCCGTTTTCCAGGGGCAGGCTTGCCATTTGCAGTAGGTACACTAGGCACACCAGTGTGATAGACACTACTGGCACCATGCCAAGCGACGTATTGGTTCTTGTTGTATGGCTCTCCTGGAGGTGGAAGCCTGTCGTTGGGGTCTGCAAGCTCGCCCTCGACTGCGCCGCTTTCCTTTGCTGCTGTAACGTAGTAATCGTCAATGACCCTCTTGCCGCCGATGATGATGCGCGCGCCGAACTCGCGGAAGACAGATCTCGCTGTGACGACACCGATAGCACGACCCTTGTAGGAGTGAGGGATGATGTCGCGGTCGATCAGGTCCCTTTTCTCAGCATCGTCGATGATGATCTTGTAGAGCTTCATGTGTTTGGTGAAGAACAGATAACTATCCCTAAACCCACAGCATCGGGCCGGTTCAGTCGACAACATGTACTGTCTGTCGCCCCTGCCCTTGATGGTGAATATGCGCACACGGTAGTCTCGTCCACCCATGAGGTTACCCAGCTTGTCGACCTTCTGCTCGCCCTCTTCATCTTCTGGTAGGTCAACCTCATCGTTGACCACGTCCATCATGTTGCCTTCTTTGTCTATGGGAACGCGCGTGGTATGTGACGGCCCTCCCTTTGGTGGCCTTCCTCGACCTCCACCAGACGGCCGTCCCCGCTTGCGCTTGACGGGTGTGCCGCCTTCGGAGTTGTCGGGCTCGATGACATTCCAGTCCGGCGGCCTGTTCTTAGGAGGGCGACCAAGACGCTTCTTGCGCGGAAATGGCTGGATGACTGCTGGAGAAGGTGAACGCTCAGAGGGTGCGGCTTCCTCGTCGCTTCCCTGGGCTGCTGATTCAGCATCCTCTTCCTCTTCCTTGGGTGTGTCGGCGCGCGATTCTGGTGCATCTATCATATCCTCGTCGCTGTCTTGCTGGGGTGTTGCGCTGCGAACAGGCGTGCTGCGACGCGCTGCAGCTCGCGATGGGCGGCCGCGCGCCATTGTGGCTGGTCGAAAACGGCGTTGATGTGGCGCAGGTGAAGCTAGCAACAGTTGTCGCGGTGTGTTTGTAACTCCAACTTCGTAATTCGGATGCAGATTGGGTGAAGGGCGGTGTCGGTGGTTAGCGATGCTCTTGCACTCAGGAATGCTAAGGACCGCGACGTGAAAGAGCTAAGCAAGGGTCCCGCGCACGGCCCACAATCATCACGTGCAGGCTCAAGCCAGGCGTTTTCGTCAACGTCTTCCCCAGACTGAACGTACATTCTCCAATACCTCACAAGTGGCCATCGTTGGTGCTTCGGTGAATCAGGCAATCATCCCCACTGCAGTAAACGATGTCAATATTTGCCATGTCCAAGCAACGGCACGAAGCCCCGAGCATACCTAGGTATCGCATCTCCACCTAGGTATTACGGGAATTTTGAGGAACGAGCTCGTTGAACAGGTCTCTGCAGCATCAAATCAGTGAACATGATACCTGGGGTTATCTCTCTTGGAACAATCAGGTTCAGAGCATTTTTTGAGCGCGTCGTCTGCATCCGCTCGATATGTACAGGGGTTGATCCTGCCAAAACCACCATACGCTCTTGGAACTTGCCACCTTGAAGTACACAGATTCAACTCGGCAGGACCAGACGTGTATATCAACAAACATGGATCAGATGTCAAGAGCGCCGACTCCAATAGCTCCCACACACTCGTGGCCTCATCCGTTCGACTAACCCCGTAGCCTCAACCACACTGCCGACCCTACAGCGCAGGACTGGGATAGTGACGAACAGCCACCATGCCTTTTGATCGCATCATCAGTGCCAAGAGGAGCTTTACCGGTATCTTCTCTCGAATAAGTATAGCTCCGTGAGTCGGAGATGTTCCTATCTCTGCTTTGCTATGCTGACATTGTCAAGTCCCTCGCCACCCTGCTCCGCTAAGCACAACGAGAACAATGCACCAAGCTGTGAGACTCCAGGACCGTCCTCGCCTGTCGCGAGCTCAACTGTACCTGATTCTAGCGACGAATCGCCTATCAGAGAGAGTCCATCAATGCGCAAAGGTCTAATGGGCTCGTTGCGAAAGCAAAAGCTGCGGAGCATCGGCTCTTTACGCAGCTTGCGCTCACCTACCAAGACCAAGCAGTCTGATACATCAGAGTGCCTCATGAATAGTGTAAGCATATTTTCCCACAACGGAGAAACGACCACTGACTCTCTGTCCTCTAGAGTCCGCTGACCCCGAGGCACCGCCTCAACTCATCGCTTTTACTCTACTTCGAGGAGTCTCCCCCAGACAGACCAATATTCGATCTTGACCGCATGGATCCCCGAACCTCGAGTCTTTATGTCCACCATTCCTCGCCGGTACCGGTCCCACCATCCTATGAACAGATCCCGCAATCGCCTGCGGATTCATCGCTCATACCAGATGGAACTGTTCCACTATCACCAGCACCTATCCAGAAGATTCTGGACTCAGAAAAGACCATGATTCATTCGCCACCAGCATACACCCAAGCGTACGAACCAAGTTTGGAAGCGATGAGAAAACCAGCTTCAACAAAAAGCGCTCTGTCTGACAGTCTTCGGGAAGCTGCAGTCTACTTCAATGAGCCCCTCGTTCGCTTTCCAAACCCAGGATCCGACTATCTGCCTATCGATGATTGCTTTTCACTTCCTGCTAAGAGCGAAGACTTAGGTCAGACATCAGCCCGAGAGGATCCGTCTGGGGTAGATCGTATCGATAACTCGCCAGTCTACAACAACCCGGATAAGCCATCAGAGGATGCGACCACCAAGGTCTCCAATGAAACGAATACAGACAGGACACCAAAGGAGCATGCACAGCTTATCCTTGAGAATGGCTACCAGGCAAGCGTCTACCGTCGAGCAGACGGAGAGTGTCGCATGAAAATCAAGCTGCTTGCCTTTTGCAATGAAGATGACGACGACGACAGTGGATGGAACAATGAAACGCCAATCAGGTATGCTGCCGCAGAAGAAGAGAAGCTGGCATCACAATTGAGCGCTATTATTCGGGATGCGGGGCTTACCTCTGTGTCTGACAGCGAGCTCAATGAGGCGTTTGCTACTGGAAAACTTCCAGCATATCTGGATGTTGACCCAAGTTGGCACGTCGCCGAGGAAGTGAAGATGGGAAAGCGTGATAGTTCCTGGGGCGAGCATACTGGGCTCTACGACGGTAGCGGCTATGGATCAAGATCCAGCTCCCGACCTGTGACTGGTGTGACTGAGACGGCCGACGTACCTCGTACACGTATCCCTGGAGCATTCGTCGACCACGAAAACGAAGCGCCTATGATCATCCGCAGGCTGTGGGACAATACCTATCCGCACAGCCCAGATACGGACTCGCCTGTGAAGGCTACCGTGGCTGATCCCGCAATCTCCGCAGCGCAAGAGCAGCACAACAACCCCTTGCAAGACTACGAAGCCTTCCAGGGCATGTTGGATCTTGGTGGCAGTGCATAGATCATCGGGTACGCACTTCGTTATGCAGGGTCGTTTAAATTCTCTGGGTCGGGTCGGGCCCTGAAAAGTGTGACAGTGACCGATCAGGAACGGTACATCCGGCATCCTTCCCAGCAAGCAGTATTCCATCGATAGAGTCTCCATAGTTATCAATGCAGCCTACAAGTTTCTTCCACATACGCGTCTTCCAGCTCATCCCACACATGCGTAGCGGGGCGTTCGCGTGCCCCAACTCTCATGATGGCACCACTGTACCCAATAGCCGTACATGTAATCAGAGTTCCAGTCCGCAGATCATCCGAGTGTTGCATCAGTTAGTCCAACCAACGGTAATCGAAAGCAGCGAAGATCCAGGCTCCAGAAGGTGTAGGAGGGAAATCAGGCCATGTCGGCCCATGCGACTTACCCGAGTCTGGGACGGTGACTGGGGTGTGCAGTGGAGTTAGCGAAGATGTGCGGAACAGCTCGTACGATGTTTAGTATTTTGGGTGGGCAGCAACATGATCTAACACATGATGATTATGCTGTGATGTGAGACGCCGCTGGTGTGCCGGCCTTGCGCGAGAGTACTTGCTGGCGTGCTTAAAGGCGTGGTGGCGGGCGGCTTCGAGGCTGTTGCCGTGTCCCTCGGTTTGCCCCGCGTGAAGTTCAGAATGCCAGGCCAAATCCATGCTTCTTGTGGGGAGAACGCCAACGACGTCGTTATCCTTGGCTGCGGCATCATCGGCTTGTGTACCGCGTACTATCTCACAGAAAGCGAAAATACAGACCCAAAGAGTATTCATCTGGTTGATTCGAGTCCGAAGTTATTCCATTGCGCGTCTGGCCTTGCTGCGGGCTTCTTGAGTGCCGACTGTACGTTTGGCAGCGTACGACGCGTGCAACATCAGCACGGCGCGTCGTTCAAACACCTGATTACTTTGTCTAACTACGAAGTAGGGTTCGCACCATCCGTAGCTTCCCTCGGCGCGTTATCCTTCAAACTTCACGCCGACCTCGCGAACGCGCATTCCGGACGTACAACATGGGGATACTCGCAATCCACTGGAATCTCCCTTTCACAAGACAGCGAATCAGCCATCGGCGGTAGCGGCGAAGACTGGCTTGAGAATGGAACGAGTCGAGCACAATTAGCGAATCACAATAAGCCTTGGGAAGAACAGGCTGCCGGACCAGAATGGCTTCGGCGCACACAGGAAGGCATCATGGAGGTTATAAGTAGGGATGGGACGACCGCACAAATCGATCCGTTGAGATTCTGCCAGTGGCTTCTGAAAGAAGTTCAGAGAAGGGGGGTCACGATACATCAGCCTGCGACGGCGACAGCCATCATCAAGGACTCAGAAGACGTGTTGCGCGGTGTGAGGATATCAGAGGGTGATGACACACAGTCGGAGACAGAGTGTAAGGCCCAATCCATACCACCCAACTCCACACTTACTAACCAACTACAACAGTACCATGTAGCCGTCTCGTCATAACCTCCGGTGCGTGGTCTCCACGCGTCTTCAGCACCCTCTTCCCATCCTCGAAAGCGCGCATCCCCGTCTCCTCCTTAGCTGGCCACTCGCTGCTCGTTCGAAACCCACACCACAAATCCGAAGAGCTCGACAAGGAAGTCTGCCACGCAGTCTTCGCGACAGATACACTCGGCTTCTCGCCAGAATGGTTTGCGAGATTAGGTGGAGAGCTGTATCTGGCAGGACTCAATAGCACAAATATACCTCTGCCAGAGGTTGCAACAGACGTTCAAGCTAGTGCGAAGGCTATCGAGCAGTTGAAACAGTGTGCGAAGGCTATGATGGTGAACGTCCCAGGCAGAGACATGGAGATTTTGAGGGAAGGCTTGGTAAGTTGATACTGAGAGTGGAATGTTGAACTGGTTTGCTAATCCCAGGCAGTGCTTCCGTCCAGTCACATCTAGCGGCCGACCCATCGTATCGCGGATACCGGACGAAAAGCTCGGAGGCATCAGGACGAAAGATGAAAGAACTGGCGGTGTTTATATAGCGGCGGGTCATGGTGCCTGGGGCATATCGCATGCGCCTGGTACTGGACTTGTGCTGTCGGAGCTGATAGAAGGGCGGGAAGCAAGCACGAATATTGAGGCGTTGCAATTACCAACGTAAAGTGCTCTTACTCAAACAAAATGTGTATTGGGTACTCATCAACTGGTCATATCGAAACAAACGTGCTGGCCCTGTGACGAGTATGGAATCGGGCTTCTTGTCTCTGACGTAATCCAGTGCACGATATCCTTGGAGTTAGCGCAGGACTGCGCCGCACGTTCGCACGATGACTCCGCAGTTGGTCTTATCGAATCGTCACACAATGCTACTATAGCAATTCCAAGCAAAAATAATGTCTACGAATCCCGCCGACGAGGTGGCCGCAAGGAAACGAGCTGAGCGTGAGAAGAACCCCATCCATATCGGACAACTGGACGCAAGCGTGTTGGCTGGTACGTTTCTAGTCAAACAACTACTTCAACTTCCTTGCAGCTAAAGACCATACTCAGCACTACCAAAGGATGTGAAGATACTATCAATCAGACAGTCCGGTGAAAGCGCGTGGTGTGAGAGTTTCCGCATCGATGCAAACCTGCAAGATGGCTCGGAAAGGCAGTACTTCGTCAAGGTAGATTGTGTGTCTTGTCACACGAAAGATCCCATCTAATAGGATCGCAGATCAAAACAGGCAAACTAGGAAAGCGAATGATGCAAGGTACCTACGAATCCGAACTACTTTACCACAGTTACTGCCCGGAACATGTTCCAACACCGATAGCCTGGGGAACCTATAAAGACCACCCGGACACATGGTTCTACGTCTGCGACTTCCACGACCTGGTGATGGAGAAACTTGATCCAAGAGCTTTTGTCGACATCATAGCTGGGGTGCACAAATCAAGTATGGGAAAATCACCGCTCGGCAAATACGGATTCCACATTCCAACCCATCTTGCTCATGTACCGAACGACAACACATGGGAAGACTCGTGGGAGGTCTGGTACACCAAAGCTATGCAGACCATGTACGATCTGGAGAAGAGCAAGTACGGAGTAGACGAAGAGTTAGAAGTCATCTTCGAATCTCTCTGTTCAAAGGTCATACCTAGGTTGCTTCGGCCCTTGGAAACCGGCGGTCGCTCGATTGAACCATGCCTCTCGCATTCGGATCTCTGGCCTGGAAACTGTATGCTGGAGAAAGAGACTGGTAAGATCATTATCTTTGACTCATGTGCTTTCTGGGGTCATAACGAGTGTGACTTGGGTAGCTGGCGTGCTCCGCGGTACAATATGGGTGAGGAGTTCTTTACGTGCTACAAGGATATCGTGAAGCCCTCGCAACCAGAGGAAGATTGGGACGATCGCAACAGACTTTACGCCATGTTAGTACAGTCCCATGGAGGGAGGTGTTTTTGCTCACGAGGATTAGTCGCTATGATCTCCTGGTGTCCGCGCTTTATCCCAAAAAGCCTGAGTTTCACGATAGGTATGTGTAAAGATACTTGCGTTCGAATGTCAGGCTGACTGGCTTCAGGGCCAAAGCTGAGATGAGAGGGCTCGTTAAGAAGTTCCCTGGCGGCTTCGAAGACTGGGAAGCCCGACAAGTGTCTTCACCACGCGACCTGTAGAGGTCAAATGCGATCTCGTCAATGGCTGGCTAAGGTCCGTTCGTTTGCACTTTTCACAGTAACTGCTTACCCCGCGTTTGGTGTGCTCTAAGTAACCGTGCCGCAAGACTAGACTGCAGAGACGTCAAAGCGTGCCTTGTGAGTCAGGTGCCACCCTTCTCTGTCGTACCCTGTTTGAGGCATTCAGCTCTGAACAACACGGCTGTCCGATCAGAATGGTCAAGAATGAAAGTAACGGAGCCGCGGGAGAAGAAGGGGTTGCGAATGCGCTCGCGGATCAAGGAAAAGAGGGCTCAAATGTCGAAGACACTCCATACACCACATTCACTCCCACTCAAAAGCGACTATTACTAGGTGCCTGCTCTACAGCAGCGGTATTCTCAACAATCTCGTCGTTCATATACTTCCCTGCAATTACAGCGATCGCAAACTCATTGCGGGTTTCCATCGAACAGGTCAACTGGTCTATCACCTCGTACTTGATAGTATCGGGAATCGCGCCCTCGGTCTTCGGCAGTCTGGCTGACGACATCGGTAGACGGCCCGTACTTCTTTTGACCCTCTCCATATACGTCGGGGCAAACGTCGGTTTGGCACTGACACAGCAATATGCCACTCTCATAGTAATGAGATGCCTGCAAAGTGCTGGCGCTTCAAGTACCATCGCGATCGCATTCGGTATCATCGCAGATATCTCGATACCTGCAGAAAGAGGATCTTACGTGGGTGTGTTGATGGGTGCTACCAACGCTGCGCCATGCTTGGGGCCTGTCATTGGTGGAGTAGTTTCAGAAAAGCTATCGTGGAAATGGATCTTCTGGCTCTTGGTCATCGTTGCCGGAACTTTGCTGGCGACACTTACCCTCTTCCTTCCGGAGACAGAAAGATGCCTCGTAGGAAACGGGAGTCTTCAACCAGCGCGTCTCATGAACAGATCCATATATTCGCTTGTATCTCGGCGTAAGACCAGGTCTCCGGCAGCTGCATCTTCTCGAAGTCGTGGCTCCGCCTTTCTAGGACCTTTCAAATCACTGTCAGCTCTCAGGAACCAAGCCAACTTCATCGTTATCTTAGCCGGCGGTATCACTTACACTATGTATACGTGTCTCGCGGCTTCCCTCTCAGCGGCAGTCATCGCAGAGTACGAGATTAATTACCTTATGGCCGGGTTAACCTACCTTCCAAACGGCATTGGCGGGATCCTCTCGTCGTATGCGTCCGGCAAACTTCTCGATCACGACTACAAAGTCACTGCGCGCAGACTAGGTCTCCCAGTAACGTCTCGATCGGGCAACGAATTCCCGTTCGCAAAGGCTAGACTGCGATCGATATCTCCGGTTGTAGTCGTCAGTGCGGTGGCTACCATGGGGTACGGTTGGGTATTGCACACGAGGTCGCACATCGCTATACTGCTAGTGGTCCAGTTCTTCTCCGGAGCGGCTCAGGTATGTATTTTCGCGACATGCGGGACGCTGCTCACAGATCTGAATCCCGGGAGAAGTTCGACTGTACAAGCGAGTTATAGCCTCGTGAGATGCGCTCTCAGTGGTGCTGGCGTGGCGGCTTTGGAGACCATGGTGCGCCAGATAGGATACGGGTGGACTTTTACCGTCTTTGGTGGCTTGGGACTTTTGTGTGTACTCATACTTTTCTATCTGAAACAGAAGCGTGCTCTATGAAGCAGAGACTTCGTCGTTGGGCGATAATGGGTGGCGGGATGGTCGCGTCGCGACCGTGAACATGACGCGTCTAGGCTGAGGTTAGCGTCCCGTGCCGCCTACGATGCCCCACGGCAGGTACCTTGCATTAACACACCACGTCTTCAAGATGACATTACCCGCCATTAATTTGCTCTTCAGCATAAATTGCAACGATCCGAAACACAGTTCATGATAGCGCTCTGCCGCACATCGCGAGGATCGGCATTGCTGATACCTATAACGCTCAGTCATTTACTGTTTTGAGACATCGCTCAGCTCAATACCAAGGCCAACAGTCTGCCCAGCAGTATCAGCCACATCAACCATATCAATCATGACGGGCATCGAGGCCAACCCGAAGACCCAGCCAGAAATATTCCAGCACTCCCCTTTACCAAAAGTGAAGGGCTCCTTCAGATTGATACAAGTCAGACCTGATTTCTCCGTCGACGGCCTCCCCGACTGCTACCTACAAAATGCGCTAGTTCAAGAATCGAACTATGTCTGTCTTTCATATACCTGGGGCGAACCAGGGGACGAGTTCCCTATCAAGCTCGATGGAAAGCTACACTATGTGCGCCAAAACCTCTACGACTTCCTCCAAGCGGCACGCCAGCGTCTCACTTTCTGCACATTGTGGATAGACGCGTTGTGCATAAATCAAGCCGATATCGAAGAACGAAACCATCAAGTTCAGCAGATGGGTGATATCTTTGCTGGCGCGAGATTGGTCGTGTCGTGGCTAGGCAATAATTTCGAGACGCAAGAATTCGTTCAAGCGGTGGGGCAGAAGTTCGACCGCCAGGCCTGGAAGACTTGGGAGGATTTTTATCACAGCAAGCACGGTGATTCACCTCAGGGGAGCAGCTCTCAGAACGCAGAACCGGACTCCAGCAGTCGCTCCGTCCCAGCTTACGATCTCAGTCAAGAGAATACGTACGACTCCGAGATCTCGGACTCTTCACTCATTAAAAAACATTACGATCTCATTGCGAACAATGCGTACTGGCAAAGGGCCTGGGTCGCACAGGAAATGATGCTAAAATTTTCTCTTGGTACACTCGTCGATGTCAAGGGTGTCGAATTTGAGACGAAAAGCAGGTTCATTCATCGCACACGTGTCGTGGTTGATCACAATATCTGCTCTTCGGCATGAAATCATGCCTGGGTTATCGCGAAAACGATATCATTATGACTAAAGCTACCTCCACCGATCAAATGACTACATCAGCGGAGTACGTGAAGAATGGTAAACGCTCTCAGACGCCCCAGATATGTAACAATGTACCTGGTGCAGGAACGTCTTTGTGGGACCAGTGTCTTTCACGCGTGTCCCAACTGCCCTTTTTGCACACATTGCCATCCTATGCGTCTACCTCTGTGACCACGTCCGACGACGGCTCGCCTCACCCCAGTCTGTATGGCTCGGTCTCTTTTCGCATTCATAAAAAGATCCTTTCTTCGTATACTTTCTGGCCATACTGAAGATAAGCTTTGACTACCACGTTGCGTCCTTGTGTAGTGAACCCGTTTTTGATTTGCCGACAAAGGTGCAATATAGCGGTGAGATTGCTTGACTTATCGTCTTCGACCAGGTCGCTGTCGTTGAGTTTGATCTGACTGCGGATGTCGTAAGTGCCGGCCGAGCCGCTGATCTTTATAATGCTGAGCTTTTGTAGCTCTGTCAAGCCCAGAATAGCTTGAGGTTGGAAGTCGTGCAAGAACATTTCGAATGAAAGTGCGCGTACCGAGATTGTTGTATGGCCATTCGTGGATGTACACAACAATGGCG